AGTGTGAGTTACCATGCCTGGACTCTCCCCTCCCCTCCCCTCCCGTCCCGTCCCGTCCCGTCCCGTCCTGTCCTGTCCTGTCCCCTCCTCTCCCCTCCCCTCCCCATCCCCACTTTTCCTAGTTGGGATAGTTCAAGCACCGGAAGCACCGCTTTCCAAACACGTCGCTGAAACACCACTGAACACACAAACTGCTGGGGGACACAGCTTGGAAACAAACAGCAGCTGCTCCCATTTACGACCCCCCCTTTATTTTCTTCTAATCATATTTGTCATAAAACTTGCCGTTCTACATGGCTTAGGAACTTGACAAACTGAACTTTTCTCTCGTGGGCTCCCAGGTAGCCCAGACAGTGTCTTAGGTAGGGTGGCGGCCCTGCGCTGGTGTCCTAACACTTTCCCCCTCTTGCTTCTGGTCTGTGGACCAGGTGGGCGGGGCTGGAATTTCTGGCGTCTTCTGTCGTTTCCTTCTCTGATTCTGTAAGAGTAGTTAATGCTAACTCCAGTTGTTCTCAGTGACCCAGAGTTTCCTGTTTCAGACTTTATTGGATATGTATTGGAGTGTATGTATGTTTGCATTGTGTGTAGGCACATCCACGCATGTGCTTATGTGTGTGGAAGCCAGAGGTTGACATTGACTATCTTACTGGTTACTCTTGTTAAAATTCCTTCCCTGGGGCCTATGTAAAGCAAAGTCTACCCTTCTCCGGAGATCCCAAGGATGAACTAAGGCATGAATCTGTGCAAAGTTCACTGGGAAACTAAGGAATTTGCTGTGCTTCCTTACTGAGCCAAGGTGAGGGGTTAATTATGGGGGTGTGGCCACTCCTCTGCAAACAGGCTGCACCTGGGAAGCCTTACCTAGCAGGGATGCAGGCTTTCCCACTAGTCATCCACATGGAGTCCATGCTCTCGTGTCTCCCGGCCTCTATACACTCTAGCTCCTCCCCGAGGCCACGTGCATCCTGGCAGGGGTATGAGCAGGGATTTCAGCCTACAATCTCGTGCCCTAACCTGAGCACTTATTCCGGGTAGGGGTTGTGGACTGTCAGCCAGTCTAGCTGTGGTTATCCTTGGCCGTTTCCACAGTTGTCTCCCCAACATGGCCGTTGCTTGGCTCATAGGGCGGCCTCCCATGATGCTTGCCAGCTTATGTATAAAGCACAGTCTAGCACTTGACCCCAGAGCTCACCAACTCAACTAGTGTAGTTAGCCAGCTTCCTCGGCGATTTCCCACCTCTGGCTCCCTAGTGTTAGGATTACAGCTTGGTCACAGGTCAGCCTGGCATTTTTCATGGCTGCTGGAGACCCCAACTCTAGCCCTCACATTGCATGGCACTTTACCTGCTGAGCCATCTCTCTGGCTTCCTAGGTGGAGTCTTGGAAAGATCCCTAACCATTGGCTTGAGGGGAGCAGTCTGGTTTAGCATAGACTAGTTTTCAAGAACTCTAATTTATTTGCCACCTTCCTCAGGAATATTAGAGTCGAGGCCCTGAGGCAACCTCTCTTCCACCTCAGAAACACCGTGGGGTAGCACGCAGGATAAACGTTGTTACTGGGGGCAGGGTATGGCTCAGTTCACAAAATAACTGGCCATCTGTGGTGTCTGTGAGCATACCAAAGCACACGCTGGCCTCAGGGCTTTCTCAGTGTCACAGCTACCCACGGCTCTTCTCAGCTCTTCTCCCTGGCCCGACTCTGAACTTCTCTAGCTTACGGGCCTCCCTTTGCCAGTTTCTCATGCCTGTGTAACCCTGCATTTTGGCCATGCACCCTCTGGGTTTCCTTCTCGCTTCCTCTCTTGGTGCTCTCTCTCTTGGCCCTCTCTTACCCTCCACCCCCAAGGCCAAGTCCATTCCGCTGGCCAGATTTCCTACCACTTTCTCTCCCTGCTCTGGACTCTTCTAGATGCCTCTGGCTGTTCTCTCTGATATCTACAACAAAGTCCTTCCCTTCAGCCACACCTTGGAGCTGTCGCTCCTCACCTCTTACACTTTCCTAACACAAGCCAAAGCCCTGGGTTCTAACCCAGCACCACATCCACTGGGCATGTGGCATAGACCTGTGATCCCAGCACTTGGAGGATCAGGGTGGAAGGTCATCGTGAGTTAGAGGCCAGCCTTGGCTATGGGACCTTGTCAAAATCCCGAAGTGGCTACTATTAGCTTGTCAACTTTTCATGGGGTCATGGCAGGGGAAAAGTCACCTGTGTTTTACAGGCTCGGACACCAGCCTGTGCCTCCAGGCCCTCCCAGGGTCACATAGCACTCAAGTGAAGGCAGCATTTCCTCTGGGTATGTCTGAATCCAAGGCTTGGGCTGGTCCCCTCCTCCCTGCCAGCCCACCTGCCAATACATACATCAGGTGCTCCTCTGTGTGCCAAGCTCTCAAGGTAGGCTCCACTCTCAGGTTTTTCTCACCTCTCAATATTTTTTTAAGTTAAATTAAGTGACTAACACTTAAAAATTAGATCACACCTTAAAGAAAATGTCTGGGTTTTCTTGAGAAATCATTAGACCCGGCAGTTTTGTGCTCTTACGCTGGCAGGGCAGTAATTAGTTGTGCTAAGGAGCTCTTTTTTCCCCCTCCCTGTCCCACCTAGTGGAGGAATGGCTTGTGCAGTCGGCCACTTCACTCCTTGGTCTAACAGGATCATGCTCGGGACTCTTCATTTATTCCTTTACATTTTAGAAATTATGTGGGTTTTTTTGTGCGTGTGTGCGTGCGTGCGTGCGTGCGTGTGTGTTCAGAAGACAGCTTGCTGGAGGCTGGCTCTTTTCATCCACCAAGTGGTTCTGGGGTCCTCACGTCCTCAGGCTTGCTGGCCTTTATCATTTGAGCCATTTTTCTGGTCTCAGTTTATTTCTTTAAAGAAGCAATTTCCAGCCGGGTGGTGGTGGCACACGCCTTTAATCCCAGCACTTGGGAGGCAGAGGCAGGCGGATCTCTGTGAGTTCGAGGCCAGCCTGGGCTACCAAGTGAGTTCCAGGACAGGCACAAAGCTACACAGAGAAACCCTGTCTTGAAAAGCAAAAAAAAAAAAAAAAAAAAAAAAAAAGCAATAGCAATTTTCTTTTGGTTAGGAATCATAAGGATAAACGCCTTGAATTTTATGGATTTTGGTGGATTTAATGGATCATTTTCTTTTCCACTTCTTGGGACTGCAGCTCAGCAGTATCAGCTGTGGCTGTGGACAGTCACTGAGCCCATGGCACTTGGTTGGCTTTGAGGGTTGATAGGACCCTGTTTGCTGCCGTGAACTTCCATAGTTCGTCTCTTTACATTTACCCTGTGAGTATTGCAAAAGCGTATCTGGCAGGGCCAGCGCTGTAGGGATGAGAGATGAAGCCAAGGAAAAGCATCCTGGGAGGTGGCTTTCTAGCCCCCACCCCCATTTCTTTCTTGGAGACTGTAGAGTCCCATAAAGAAGATCGCCTCACACTTCAGGAACACATTGTATCAGGTTGCTGTGATAAACACCATGACCAAAAGCAACTTGGGGAGGACAGGGTTTATTTGGCTTCCATGTCCTGATCACTGGCCACCATTGAGGGAAATCAGGGCAGGAACTCAAGCAAGAGCAGAGACATGGGGAAAAGAGCAGGAACAACAGAGAAAAGCTTTCCATGGCTTGCTCAACCTGCTATTTTCCCAACCCAGAACCAATGCCCAAGGGTGGCATTACCAATGGACTGGGCCCTCCTACATAAATCATGAGTCAAGAAAATAACCCACAGACTTGCCTGCAGGCCAATCTGATGGAGTCATTTTCTCAATTGAGGTTTCTTTTCCAGATCACTCTTGCTTATGTCATTAAAAAACAGACAAACAACTAGCCAGCACACCTTGTTTTCTTTCCAGTATCCACCCTAGTAAGTGGTTTAGATGTTTCAAGAGAAATAGTTTAAAAAAAAATAGAACTTCCTCTAGATGATCTGCGCCTTTCATGTTACCTCAATATTCCTGCAAGAGCACCTTGATTCCACAGTGAGAAAAATGGCAATTCTTTTTTGTTTGTTTATGGGTGTACACACATATGGACAGAGGTGTGGTTTGTATGTGGGTGTACACACACATGGACAGAGGTGTGGTATGCATGGACATGTGTACACATGTGGAGGCCAGATGTGGATGTCAGCCATCTCCCTCAGTCACTCTCTACTTTATGTTTTGAGACAGGGTCTCCTTTCTCTCACTGAACCTGGGACTCACTGATTTGCTAGATTAGCCAGCCGTCCCAGGAACCCTCTTGTCTCCAGCCCTTAGTTCTGGGATTTTAGACTTGTTCTGCCAAGCTTTAAAAAGTGGGTCCTGTGGATAGAACTCAGGTCCTCTTGCATGTATGGTGTAGTGAGTCTTTCTCTGTCCTGCCAGCCAGCTCCCAAGTAACCACATGGAGACTTATTATTAATTATGAAAGCTTGGCTGATAGCTCAGGCTTGTTTCTAACTAGCTCTGATAAATTAATCCATTTCTATTAATCTGTGTGCTGCACTGGGGCTCATTTACCTCATCTACATACTGTCCATTCCTGCTTTCTTGCTTCCTCTATGTCTCTTCATGTTTCCCTCCGTCTTCTCTCCAGCATCCTCTGTTCCTGGAAATCCTGCCTAGATATTGGCCATTCAGCTTTTTATTAAACCAATCAGAGTGCCACTTTTTCACAGTGTACAAAAAGATTATTGCATGACAACATGATAAGGACTCTATGGACTGAGTCATCTTCCTAGCCATCCCTTTTATTGTTTTAATGTAAAACAATTTCCTTTTTTCTATTTAAATTCATCATAAAAGTATGAAAAAAAGTGACTTTGACTAACTTCATAGCTGTGGTTTAATTAAACTTAAAAAAAATTCATACTATTTGGTAGTTACACCTAGAAGATGCCCTCCCCTCAAATTCAAGTGATTTATTTGCTTATTTTGAGTAAATATTTGCTTTTGAGGATGACAGGTTCTGAGATGGTGTTTTAAATTTTGATTTTTGGTTTTTCTTCAGGACCCTGCAGGGATCTTTGAGTTGGTGGAACTTGTCGGAAATGGGACGTATGGTCAAGTTTATAAGGTAAGAAGGTTAAGCTTGAGTATGGCTTGTGTGTGGCATGGGTTTCTGCATGCCAAATAGCAATGCTGTCCATACTTGTTCCTAAATGCCTCATCACAGCAGATATCAAGTGGAACTGGTCATTGGTGGGTTCACTCTCCATCCTTTTGGACAGAGCTGTGTTTGAACTGACTATGCAGGGTTCTGTGGCCTGAGTTCCCCAGCAGTGTTTAACACAGTGTTTGTACTGGAAGCAATCTTCAGGTATCGCTTATCTGAAACTCGCTAAGTGGCTAGATTCCTTCACAGTAAGCACTGCCAAGCTGGTTTCCAAAGGAGCAAAGGACACCATTCCCTTTCAAAATTCAAGCGATTAGACTACCGCAGCTGCAGAAGTGAATTTGTTACTCGCCCAGGGCAGTAATCAAGTGAGCTTCCTTGCAGTGTTAGGAGAAAGCTGGCTAGCTCACTTGCTCACAAGTGGAGACCCAGGATCAAGATGAACCCTCAAGATAGGAAGTAGTGAGATGGCCAGCTTGAATTGGGATTCGACTTACGCTCTTTTATTAATTCTGCCTACAAATTCATCCAAAAATGTTTAAAAGGAGTCTTTCTCCCTAATAATTTTTTTTTAAAAAAAGATATAGGTTGATTCCTCTTTTGATGAGTGAAAAGAAATACAGGTGAACTGTTTGGGGACTAGAATTTGGGGGCTTTTGGTAAATGAACTGTTAAGAATCCTTCAAAAACAAGCCAATGTGTCCTCTGGATTATTTCCAGGGAGCAGTCATCATTATTCTAAGTGGTAGCAATATGGGATGGAATTTTAAGTACAGATTATTTCTCATTGTCCTATTTTTTAAAATTCCTTCTTTGCCCTAAACTTCTTTTAACTGATTCAAAGTGCTGTAAAAGTCATGCAGACTGTAATATTCTCAATTCTGCAGAATGTCAAGTGCAGGGATGCATAAGGTATTGTGAGAATCTGGTTCTCAAAGCACTACTGTGAGTGGCTGTGCATGGATGCTTTGACTTGACTAGGAAGTAGTTTTTGGTGCCCGAAAGAGTGAGAGACAAATTCTCCCTTACAAGAAGCAACCATTTCCTACAGTGCCAAGCCTTTACAAGAAGCCAGACTGCAGACTCCATGAGCTGCTCACTTGATGTTGGTCCTGCCCGACACAGAACGAGATGTCTCTCAGAAAGTGCTTTTAAATACTTGCAATGAAGATAATTAGGTTGGATGATTGTGTTATCGCAGCTTGAGAAATTGGATTGAACTTGCCATGTAACGTGGCTAATGAAGGAAACTCTATTCCAGGCAGAATGACTCCTGACTTCTTGTCAATGTGGTGGAGCATCAGTAGTGTGCCATTAGTTTCAGGATAGCACTGGAGGATGCTTCCCACTGTAGAGTAGACATTGGGACACACTTACCAGCTTCATCATCTAATCCAGCAGGTAGCACTGTACAACCCTGAAAGAGGCTAGAACAAAGGTATGTGGTAGTCATCCCGACAGGGTCCAGGATCGCCTAGAAGATGAACCTCAGGGAATACCTGTCAGGGAGTTTCAAGATTAGGTAAACTGAAGTGGGAAGCCTACCCCAAAATTGGTGGTGTTGTATCATTTGTTGGAGTTCTAGACTGGATAAGAAGGAGAAAGTGAGCTGAGCACCAGCATTCATCACTCTCTACTTTTGACTGGGGACGCAGTGTGACCGGCTCCCTTGCATTTCTACAGCACATCTCCTCCACCTGGAGGACCGGAGAAACCAAACTGTGAGCCAGAATCAATCCCCCCTTCCTTAAGTTGCTTCCCCACAGGTATTTCATCGCAATAACGATTCAAAAAAAATGCAGCATTCAATTTTAAATGAGAATTTTTGGAAAATCCAGAATTATCTCCAATTTCATGACAGTACCTGAAAAACAAAAACAGAAAACCAGTTAAAAGCTCAATGGGTGTCAAAGAGTCTCATTCTTTTCTCGGAGCAGGAAGGTCTGCAGCACACACACAGGTAGAGCGGGAAGGTCTGCAGCACACACACAGGTAGAGCGGGAAGGTCTGCAGCACACAGGTAGAGCGGGAAGGTCTGCAGCACACAGGCAGAGCAGGAAGGTCTGCAGCACACAGGTAGAGTGGGAAGGTCTGCAGCACACAGGCAGAGCAGGAAGGTCTCCAGCACACAGGCAGAGCGGGAAGGTCTGCAGCACACAGGTAGAGTGGGAAGGGGAGATTGCAGATGTCATGGTTTGGGCATGTGACCTGGGGACAGGAGATATGGTCTCTTTCACAGTCCTATTCGCTGTTTTGTGGCTCACATTTTTTCATACTTGAGTCCAGTGAGAATGGAGTAGGAGACTGTGGGGCTTGAGCTGCCTTATCTAAAGAATTGTCACTTCCTAGTTAGTTCTAGGCCACTGGGTTGTGTTAGGTGGTGTTCCTCATGATCCGAGATGGTCTGTTTCCTCAGGACCAATGCAGTTCTGCTGCCTAACTGCCTAACACAGCAGCAACATCTGAATTTACAGAATGAGAACCTTCAGCTAAGTAAATTGGGAACTGATTTTTCACACCATGCATTTATAATTTTTGTGGACTAGGCACGTTGCAAAAATAATGTAGGCATATATAGAAATTTTATAGCCTTGGTTAGGAATCCTTCCACATAAAATTGTATATAAACGTTTTCTTTATATTAAATATTAAACCTATTAATTGTAATTAAATTAATTTTGTGAATTTACCCATAGGTGATGCTGAGCTTCACAAAGTAATGTATAATTTTATGAGTAACTGAGTAACCTTTATTTTGTGGAATATTTATCATAAGACTTTTTAATAAGCTCTCTTTACAAGAGTCATAGTATAATTTTATTTTCAAGTAACATTTAAGAAACATGTCATATGATGAATAAAAAGTACATATAGCCTTTAAAAGTATTTTCTGAGCTGCATCTGTATCAGAGACAGATACATCTAGCTTTGAAAAAGAAACATTCATTTTGTATAAAAGTCATTAAATAATGTGTAGCTTTCCAAAACTACTTCCAGCCTCATTCCCAAGTCTAGTTTATGGTTACATTGGTTACATGCTCTCTGGAAGAATTATCTTTAACAGTTTGGTCTCAGTAATCAAGTGATAATTTGATTTAGTTTTATTTGTAATTTTATTTACTATTTGGAATAGGTTAATAATTTAAAAAATACTTCTCATCTTTTTCTTTTTTCTTTTCTTTCTTTCTTTCTGGTTTTTTTTTTTTTTGAGAAAGGGTTTCTCTGTATAGACCTGGCAGTCCTGGAACTCACTTTGTAGATCAGTTGGCCTCGAATGCAGAGATCTACCTGCTTCTGCCCCCATTGTGCTGGGATTAAAGGTGTGCACCACCATGCCCAGCTCCTTCTGTTCACTGCCTCAGTCACAGTTTTATCACAGCAGTGGAAAAGGAACTATGACATTGGTTTTCTTTGATCCTGACGTAAGGTTACTGGAGTGAAAGCTAAGCCAAGCACTTTCTAAAACCTTAGGTGTTCCAGACTGATTCAAACTTACATAAACTAAGATAAAGAGCAAAGTGTCTTGACATCAGATGTGATGGCCACCCGACTTGAGCTCCTCATCCAGTGTTTTTATTTGGCATGGTTATGATTACAGTATGAGGTTGCTCAAGAGCTGGAAACCAGTACTGTCAAGACTAAGCAGGTGAAGAAGAAAAATCAGTCTATTGTATGTAATTTCCTTAAATACATATATCACAATGTCTTCATTAACTGTCTGCTAAAAATAAAGTGTTTTCATAATAAGCCTCCATGAAGCCAGCAGAAGGGGTCAGATTACTTGGAACTGGAGATAAGGACAGTGGTCAGCTGCCACCTGGGTACTGGAAACTGAACCTGCATCTTCTGCAAAAGCAGCAAATGCTTTGAACACTGAGCCCTCTCTCCAGCCCAGACATTTATTTTGTTTTGCTTTTTAATAAAAATTTCCAATATAAGTAATACAGTGGCCGAGCGTTGGTGGCACAGCCGGGCGGTGGTGGTGCACACCTTTAATCCCAGCACTTGGGAGGTAAAGGCAAGTGGATCTCTGTGAATTTGAGGCCAGCCTGGTCTACAAATCAAGTTCCAGGATAACCAGAACTGTTACACAGAGACACCCTGTCTTAAAAAACAAAAAGCAAACAAACAGAAAAAAAGAATCCACCTTTGCACACTTCTAAGTTCCAATGATAAAAACTCTGTGCCTTGTGTAAGAATGAGGAGAGGAAGTGGAAGCAGTCCTCACTCTCAAGAAGGATGCGGTTACATGATCTAATCAGGATGCTGCATGACCATTTTTGCCCAGGGTTTTGTGGTTCCTGTCTTGCTATTTTAAACTGTGGCTATGGTCCCATTTAACAGGAGGAAATGCCTTTACACCTCAGCACTCCAGATCTTCTTTGTTATAACAGCTGTTCTGGGTAGTAAAGAAGGCTTACCAGAGTGTCCTTTGTCTCTAACTCACAAGATGCTAGTGCCACCTCCAAGAGGTGGCAATCAGAATGCTTCCGGACTCTGCCAAACAGCCTCAGAGGAACAGAATCCTCCACAGTTGAGAGCCATTGCTCAAGGACAAGAGAGTTGCAAGAGTTGTAAACTGAGGTACAGAGACACCCGGCTCGTACAGTGCAGGCCAGAGGACAGGGTTAGATGAGGGGTGTTCTGGACATGCTGAAGCTGCACTGGGGAGTATCATTCAGCATCTTCATAAAGGGAAAGGATTTGGGAGCAGTCCTGAGCTGGCATCTCACTGTGCCTCTGCTTTGTTCTAGTCGTGTGAAGACAGCAGCTTGGTTATTCTGAGTTTGCATTTCTTCATCTGTTGTTAATAGTGCAGGATAGGGAGGTTCTGAAAATTTGTGTGTACAGTTCATGGAAGCCCTGACACACACACAGCAGCTTGTGAAAGACCTTTTCTTCTTTCTAAACATGAGTGCCAGGTCTTTTCATGATCTTGATTTTAGAAAATGTTTTATGAG